GCTGGCAATGGGTATTCAGCAGGAGCACTAAGAGCAATCGCTAGGGCAGTTGCTAAAGAGCTTTCCTGGCCAGAGTGTAGATGCCTGGAAGGGCATTGGTGAGGCTAAAGGGTCCCTCCTCCTGCACTTTGCCTTCCCCTTTGGATGCATGTGCATGCATATTGCCATCAGAGGAAGTATCTACACCCAATTCGGCATTTTTGGCCTGGTGACAATATTTTGCAGGCCAGACACAAGCAAGTGTAACATAAGCAATTTGGGGCACAGTTTAGGAGCTGATGCACACCCAGTCAGACCATGAAATTACTCACAGTGTTAACTGCACAAACAGAGCTGAAAGGCCGGTCAAGGAGAAGGACATCTGCCATTAAATGCTTTCTCATGCTCTTGAGTGTTTTTATCTGATGTCTCTCAATCTCAGAGGGAATCCAGTCAGACAGCCATAGTACATGGCAACACAGATGCATCCATGACCATATAGATACAAGTATACATTTTACTACACTTCTATATATCAAGTCATCTCCAAAATGGCAGACTTTCTCCTATAGAGTGGAGGCTTTGGAGGGGTTTTTTGCAACTGTTCCCGAGGAGGTGCTGGAATTATTTCATACAGTTCATCCTGGTCTTTTAAATTCAATTTAATTTTTCCAACTTGGAAATATGTATATCTACAGCCTTCAGTCACTTGAAAGCATCAGGAAGAGAAAGGAAGCCTAGCCTGGGTTTTTATTTTCTCTCCATTTCTATTTTTTATAGACTCACAGGAGAAAAAAAGAGGGCAAAGTCTATTTAAGCACATGTGTATGCACAAACACAAATGCCCAACATGAATTTAATTTGCTTTCTACCATAGTATCTATGCCTATGCTTGATAGAATTCCAAAGGTTGTCCTAGTATGTACTGTAGGAAAATCCTGAGTTCTGCTAAGGCAAAACACTTACTTCCAACTTAAACCCAGGCCCTCCCTTTCCCCTCGATAGTGCATCAGCAGAGACAGCATTTGGATGGGACTCTGGAGCTGGATGTGAGGAGCTCCAAGCAGAGCAGATTGGGGCTGTCTTTGCTGGCAGAGGAGGAAAGACACTGTTGTATGAAATATAACTTGGGTGTCTAGACTTGTGTACTTTACTCTGATTCCCTTAATCTCAGAGCTCTCCCAGCTTTGGAAAAATGGGCTCAGAGCTTCAGGTGATACATTTGCTCTGATCCCCCTGGTTTCTCCAGACCCAGTGGTGTGACCAGCTGAGGGTATGACCCCGTTTCTCCAAATCTGCCTCCAAAGCACCTGCACTTGGGTTATCCAGCAGCTCTCGCCTCATTGTGCTGGCTTTCTGTGTCACTATTGCATCATTAATCTTGCTGCTTCAGCAAACCTAGTGTTAAGGGTGGTGAACAGTGGCTTTTATGTCAGTAGACCCTCCCGAGTCCTGTTCAAGGAGGAAGGAAGACCCCTGTCAGCCTGAGCTGGACTGCAGTTGGGTTGCATTACTATTGTTTACAGTGTGTATATAAGTGTACATTTTCTTTGGCAGACATTGGAATTTTTTATGTATAGATTTTTATTTTTCATCCTAAGATGTATTTATTAGCCAGAGTATTTCTGTTTTGTGATTCAAGTAATGTTGGATTGATGTAAGCTCTATGAAACAGAATGCACATATTTTTGTTTGTTTGTACCAAATACATGCACAAACCTGTCTAATGACATTACTGCAAATTGTCACTATGTCTGATTTTTAAAACAGGGGTTGTAGGGGCGAGACATATAGAAGAAATGGTCATAAGAGGGAGACTAGCTTTGAAAACATCTTAACTCATGATGTGCCCATAATATGAAAACTATCTAGACTATCACTCCATTTCAGATTAACCAAGCTCAAAAGGAGGGTAGAGTGGCTTTAGAAAGGGTTCAGAAAGGGGTGACTAAGATGATCAGAGACATGGAACAGTTTCCATATAAAGAACAATGAAATCAAAAGGCTCTTGCCTGGAAGATAACTGAAGAGGAACATGATGGAGGTCTACAGTCTACAGAATCAACAGCATCGGGGGAAGATAAATAGTAGATGATTGGTCACTGTTTCTCATAATACAAGAACCAAATTACATCAAATTCAATTATCAAAATGCATAAAGCAAGGTAATTTTTTACACAACACATGCTTAACATGTAGAACTCATCACTACAAGATATTGTATCTGCCAAAAGCTTATAGGGGTTAGAAAAGCAATTAGATTCCTTCATGACAGAAAAGTCCATCAAGGGCTGTTGGAAACATTATATAACCTCTGAGCAAGGAAGTCCCTGAGGCAGCAATTGCTGCCAACTACCAGAATATTTTAAAGGATATCACTTCAGGCTGCTCCTTTTTGTCTCCCTCTCCTTAAGTTTCCATTGCCAGGATCTATGTGCCCAGCTAGTCTGGGTCTGAGCTAAAGAGGACATTTACCTCTATGTCCTCTTTATTTAGATGTTGGGTAGCGGGCCCATGCCAATTAAATTGTTCATCACTCTGCCTACAGGTTAAATGACCAAATATGCAAAAAACTCAAGGTTAGTCTCCAATGTGCAGTAGATCTACAAGGTCATAGCATTTTGCCACTGTTGTATTGAAATTCCTGCAAAGGAATTTGTGTTACTGAATACCACTTGTAAATTAAAAACAGCTCCTGAGCTGAGTTTGACGAGTGTTCCCCTGAAAGCTTGCAGTTGGGGCTGAGATTTACCTGGAGATTACACAAGAAATTTTGGCTATCTTGTGTAAATGTTTCGACTTCTTTTCAGCAATTAGGCCTCTATTCCTCCATACAGGCGCAGAACATGCATAGTAGTTTGCTTTTCTTAGGTACCTTTTGGTGAGATTCAGCTCACAGTTTAAGACACCTCCATTACAAAGAGGTGTCTACTATGAGTCAGATGTTTAAACCTTGTTATAGAGATCTAGGGCAAAAATACAGCAGTTTCATGCCATTTGAAACATCTCAGATTATCCAAGACACCTGCACAGGGCTAGAAAATAGCACATAAAATATCTTGCACAAAATGGCTGCAGGAGAAACTGATCCATAAGCTGGAAACCAAAGCAAATAATGAGAAAGCAACAGGCAGAAAATCACATTTTAATTTTTGGTCTTTGACCTAAGAAAAAAAAATAAAAAGGACAAGCTATTTACTGTCTGTTAATATGTCACCAAGAGTCCTACCAATGTGTGACTCCCAGGATGAACCACACCACCCAGTCCCTGGGGCATCCTGGGAGACGGAGTCCTGCCAAGACAGTGGGGAGGACAGCTCAGAGAGAGCAACCTAACTACAAGTCCCATGAGGCCAGAGAAAAAGGCTTAGAGCGCAATCTTCAGTTCCGTTTGGTTCAATAAAACAAACTCCTTTAAAGAGCTCCTTTATG